TGTTGGTGGAATTCCTTAAAGCTCCCTTGCTCACATAACTAATAATGCCAGTAATCCTGGTGAGCTGCTTGGAAATGGAAGATGGGAAGATGTTCCATGCTGGGTGGTTATCTGTCACCTCATCCTAGTAATTCTAAATAACTGAGTGCTTTGCTTACAATTTTGTGGGTCAGAAAAAACTTGTTTAGGATTTCATCAGGCAGAATGTCTGTAGGCAGAACATCTTAACTCACATGTCTCCGTAAATGATTGCTTCTCTGTGCTTCCATGATGTCATTTCCTGTGATCGCTTCAGTTTAGGCTTACAGTATGTCTGTTTCAGAAGTTAGACTTCTCACATGGTGGCCAACCTCCCCTTGAGCAAGCATTCTAGACCTTAGTAGGGAATGAGAAGGGAGAACTCTTAGTGGGAACAACCACAGAACAATTAAGCAGAAAGGGGAAACTGTTATGACAAATGCTTAACAGATAATTTACTCACCTAATGATTCAAGAGAGACTGATTGCCAGCCTGGAAGAAGAAAGGGACAGAGGTAAAAAGAGAAGAGTGGAGAAGGTTTTCAAGGAGAAGTTTGTCTTCCTTGCCTCAGCTCTTGGTTCTACCATCTTCCCTTGAGTCTTTGCCTGGCATGTTTACGCATTTGGGCTTTTGTGTTCATGCTTGCTCTCCTCACTATTTTGATCTCTACTTAGGCCCCTACAGTCCTCCTTGGCTCACCCTTCTGGTCCTGGCTGCCTCCCATTGCTCTAAGAACTCAACTCCCTGTTGTCTTGTTCTCTGGAAAACCTAATAGCTATAAAGCATTTCATGCCTTGCTCTTAATTTCAGATAAAATGGGTTAGTATACATTATATTTCTATTTATAGACCCTTTATGATGACTGATGCCACTTTATCCTTAAATTTTAAGAGGGCAAAACTTTTACTGTTGGATCTTATGTGGAATGTGTGTACATACTTCAATATTATTAAAATACTTTGATTATATTTTTACAAATCCATAGTTACAGTATTCAAGTTTTTATTTAATTTACCACTAATGCTTATTATAGAAATTTGGAACATTAAATTTTTGTGCCCCCCCCCCCCGACAGGGTTTCTCTGTGTAGCTTTGGAGCCTGTCCTGGAACTTGCTCTGTAGACCAAGTTGGCCTCAATCTCACAGAGATCCATCTGTCTCTGCCTCTTGATTGCTGGGATTAAAGGTGTGCACCACCAGTGCCTGGCTAAATTTGTTAATATGAGAGAAGTAATACAGTTTTGAAACACTTCAGGCAGTATAGTTGAAAGTGAGACTAGGTTCCTATGTCTCCATTCCCGACATTGTTCTTTTTTGGGGGGGAGGGTGTTGTTTTTTGAGACAGGGTTTCTTTGTGTAGTTCTGGCTGTCCTGGAACTCACTCCGTAGACTAGGCTGGCTTCAGGCATGGAGATCCATCTGCCTTTGACTCACAAGTGCTGGGATTAAAGGTGTGCACTGCACAGTTTACATAACTGTCTGTATATCCAGACTTTAAAACTATTTCTTCGCAGGTTAAGGTGTCTTTAAAAAACAGAAGTGAAGCCAAATGATATGGTACATTGGCATATGTAGTACATGCCTGTAGTCCCAGCTACTGCGGAGGCTAAGGTAGGAGAAGAAGCCTAGGGAGCAGTTACAGACTGGTTTAGGTAGCACAAAGAGATACTATCTACAAACACAAAACAAGGACCAACAAGCAAATTATGCCCTTTCCCTTGTAGAGACCTGTAAGTCAGGTACTTTGGAGGATGAGTCAAGAGGATTGAGAATTTGGGGCTGACATGGGCTGACTAAGTAGCGTGTTAACCTACTGCTTAGTACCACCAGTCTGTTCCTTCAAACACCATATGAACTTGTGTCCAGCTGTCTCTGAGCAAATTCGCAAAATAATGTAACTTCCTAATGCCTCTTTTCTGAATATAGTTCATACCTCCTGGGATTGTAAAGGATTAAATGAGGTGATAACCACAAAAGTTGTAATAGTTTCTGGCATCATAATAACAGTGTATGCTATAGAAATACTAGTTAACTATAAATGAGGTTTATTTTTAAAGAAGGGTATTGTTTGGGTTGCTAAAATTTTTAGGATGTTGCAGGTTTAAGATTGTGTGTGTGTGGGGGTGGGGTGGGGGCTAAGGCTATATGTTTCCCTGTTGCACCAGTGTTGGTCTGTGGTAGTTTATATAGTGATTTTTAAGTACTTCTCATCCCCCTCCAGGGCCCTCCTGTTGTATGTAGTGAGGTGCTGGTACTGACAGGCAGTGAGGTAGAATGCTTCCCCCCTCTCAGGTGATGGAACGTGGGAAAACCCATGCTGAAAATGATTAGGCTTAGAAAATGATACCACATTAGCACTTACTCTTTGGTTAAGCCTCTTGTTTCCTTTAGACTAACAATAATCTCTCTTTTAGAAAAAGGTTGGCAAACCCATGAAACAAATACAACTATTGCTTTATGAAGTTTTGTGTTTTCCTACTGTATAAAATACATGTGTATCATTTTAATAAGTAAAATCATTGGAAAAAATGTTTATTCATGTTTGTTTAATGCGCTTGCCTTCATGCTATGAACCATGTGCATGCCTGACACTCTTGGAAGCCAGAAAAGTGTTGGGTCCCCTAGAACTGGAGTTACAGATGGTTATGAGTTGCCATGTGGGTGCTGGGAACTGAGTCCTCTGCAAGAACAGCAGGTACTCTTACCTGCTGAGTCATTTCCCAGTCCTTGTTTAAGCTTTTAAGAAAATTAGGTAGAAAGAAGAATTGGAAGAATTTTATTTATGAGGGAGATAATTCGAGTGGCTTTACTCCCTAGTTCTAGCCTGCTTTTAGAATGTTAGGATTTTAAAAAGAGGGCATGTTAGTCACTACCTACTCTCCATTTCACAGTGAAGATACGGAAAGGAGTCATGGTGTTCTCACTTGTGTCTCTGGTAATGATGGTAGAACCAGTACTACAATCTGGGCATCCAGTTCTCCCCTTTCTGAATTCTTGTATTTTGGGTTTTCGGAGACAAGGTTTCTCTATGTAGCTCTGGATATCCTAGAACTCGCTCTGTAGACCAGGCTGGTTTCGAATTCACAGAGATCTGCCTGCCTTTGCCTCCTGAGTGCTGAAATTAATGGCATGTGCCACCACCTCCCAGCACCTTTCTGAATTGTAATGAAAGAGTTTCCTAGTTTGAAGGTGTGAGTCTGAGGCTGGGGATCTTGCATCCACTTATCTTTCTCAGTATATTACTGCTGCTACTGTCTTGAGTCTGGCTACCTCAGAAAAACAGCAAGGTTCTCCATCCCAGGGCACAAGAACTGTCCTTCCAGTTTGCTTGAGGCTTAGGTGAGTACAGGGATGGAGGAAGGTTCTGAGGTCATGGCTGAAGAGACAGCGGGAGAGGGCTTCCCAATGCTGTCCTCTTGTCTAAAGTGTCCTTTAAGGGCTGAGAGGACACCTTGATACTAGGCCTTTGAGAACATAAGGAAATGGAGAATTTTGTTAAGAGGGTATGTATGTTGGGGTACTGCAGTTTGAGGAATCTTTGTAATCAGAGTGATAGATAAGAATCTACTTTTCAGTTGTCAAATGAGACCTATGTGCAGTCAGATGCAAGGCATAAGAAATACTCGACTTGGCTCCTCTTCCTTGATACCACCCTGAAGTATAAGTAGGACTATTAAAGAGTTCTTACAAGTTCTCAGATTTCACTGTTTGCTTTTAACTCTCCGCAGTCTTCTCACTTTTCTTAGGCATTAGCATTTAATATTAAAATATTTAAGAATGCTTTGCTCTTATATTTTTGTTTTGCTGAATAGACTTTGTATTCAGACTATAAACATTTTATTGATTATGTGGTTTGTGTGTGTGTGCCTGTGCGTGCGTGCGTGCACACACACACACACACACACACACAGCCTTCGGCTTCTCATAGAAGAGTCTGGAAACGGTACTTGTGGTTACAAATCTGAAACTTACCTATCTATAAATTGAAGCTCCTTTTTATAATATCTCCCCCCCCCCTTTTTTTTTATTTGGTTTCTCAAGACAGGGTTTCTCTGTCCTGTCAATCCTGGTACTTGCTATGTAGACAAGACTGGCTTCAAAGTCACAGAGATCCACCTGCCTCTGTCTGAGTGCTGGCATTAAAGGTGTGCGCCACCACTGTCCAGCTCATAAAATCTTAACATGAAGTAAACTTTAATTTTATGATCTGTTCTATTCATTAAATGATTCAGAGTTAAATTTATATTATTACATATTGGACTTTTGGGTAAATGAATGAGGAAATGAAAAATATTTTTTAAATGAGTTGCTGGGAATCAAACACAGGGGCTTCAACACATTAGGCAAATGTCTTATCACTGAGTCATAGCAGCCCAGCAAAAAAATTGTAATCAACACTTTAAAATTTTTTCTCTTATTCTGCATAGCTCAGCTGTAACACTTAAATGAAAATAATTGTCTTGTTGACACCAAGAATTATGTGTATTTTATTTGACATATTTTCTGCAAAGTAATTTTAGAAAACTAGGGTTAGTCTGAACTGTGATTTAAGATTATACTTCTAACTAAAAGGAAGAATTGCTATTTATAGTTGTATACAAGGTGGATGGCAAAGATGTGTAATTACAAGAGACTTAAAGGAGACCAATGCTTTTAATGAGAAACCAGACCATTAACCTGCAAAAGAGACTGCGAAAGAGAATATGTTATAAAGGGAACATGTGTATGAATGTTTAATCTGTGGCTAGGATATTTGACTTGAGTCAGGTAAAACGCACAGCATCGTGGGTGTGCACTTAAATTCTTTTTGATACAGCTTTTGATAGATAGTCATCTTTGTAAGCTCACTCCTGAGGTGTGATTCCTGACCTCAAAACCCCGTGCAGCCATGGAATTTATAATCACAGGATACCATTAGAGATTGGGGAACAATGGAAAATAACACAATCCAAATGTTATGTTGTATTTTTCTTTTTATCAGTGTGCAGGTCCAACAAAAGCCCCTGGGTCTGTTTGACTTGTTCAAGTGTCCACTGTGGAAGGTACGTGACATATTTATTATTCATTACAATACTTGCTTTAAAAATTTGTCTGAAAGCTTTATATTACAGTATATTTAATATTTTAATCATAGCATGCCGTTTTTATTTTGTAGTGCTCTCTGGTTGAATACTTAGTTTTTGATACAGTGAGGGAAAATCTAGGGGGAATCCCTTTATGCTGCTATGCAGAATTACAATTTGGTGATTAAGACAACCTACTAGTAATTTTTGCTTGGGAAAATCTAGGAAACTTTTAAACCTTGAAACAAAAGTTTAGCAAATGATTGTTTTTAAGTCTGTTTAGTAGGCTAAGATATTCTGGGAGGGGGTTGAGATAGGATTTCTCTGTGTAACAACAGCTTTGGCTGTCTTGGAACTTGCTCTGTAGTTCAGTCTGGCCTTGAACTCTATTTCAAACCCCAGATTTTTTTTCTGGGAGAAGAAAACCCTAAAAAGAATGAAATACTTACAGATAACAGAATTTCCTTTGAAAGTGACCTCTTTCTGCAGTCACTCATTCTGCCTGAGATAGAACAAATATTTCAATTTAAACAGCTGCCTCTGAGTCTGGTCTTGGGATGTGGCTCTGTTGTTGACATGCATGAAGTTCTGAGTTCTGTTCTTAGCACTGCACAACACTTAGTGTGGTAATTATTTCTGTGTTCCCAGCTCTCACGAGATGGAGGCAGAAGGATCAGAAATTTAAGATGGTTATGATCAGCTTGGGTTATAGGCCATCCTCAGTTACATGAGACCCTGCCTCCAAACCAAACCAAACCAAACTAAACCGAAACAACAGACATTTTGTTTTTATGTAGATTTAGTAGCTCCCATTTTAGTCCTGAGTATTTCTTTGCAAGTTTTGGCTTCAAAATGCCATTACTTAGATATTTCAATAACTACTTCTAATTGTAACTCAAGGATAGTTCTACTGCAATTTAGCTTTAGAAATCATCTAGTCGAGAGGTGAGTCTGGTAGTTCATGCCTGTAGTTCTAACATGAGGGAGAATAATTGCTGAGAGTTGGAGGCCAGCCTGTGTGAGTTTCTAGGACAGTCAGAACTAAAGATTAAGGTCTTTGAGCCAGGCTGTGATGGCACACGCCTTTAATCCCAGTTCTCGGGAGGTCGAGGTAGGCAGGCAGATCTCTGAGTTTGAGGCCAGCCCGGCCTACAGAGTGAGTTCCAGGACAGCCAGGGCTACACAGAGGAACCCTGTCTGGAAAAACCAAAAAAGAAAGAAAAGAAAAAACAAACAAACAAACAAACAAAACCAATGAGATCTTCTCTCAAAAAATAAAACACAATTACTACCCCCCCCCCCCCAAAAAAGAGAGATGGATGGGTAGGGAGGAGATGTTCTACTTTGAATGTCTTTCAGCAGTCACCTATCAGCTAAATCACAGGGATTTAGGTCTATGCTGTATTTATTTGGAATTCCTATTGTTACTTTAAATCCTCATTGCGTGCAGAAAGCATTTTTGTTGTTCCATTATCTTGATTTTTCACATTGAGTGCTGGAATTGAGTATCCTTCCCATGAACACTTAAGAGTACTTTTGGAAAATGCTGTGTATCTTAATTGTGGCTGCTATGATTTCAAATATCTAGGATCTGGAGAACCTGAAATTATTTTGTACAGATAATTTTTTTTAAAAGACAAGTAGAAGCACTTAAATTCTGCACTGAAGATTAGGCTCCTTGATAATGCAGTAAGGGTTATGTGGCTCCTCCAGATATCAAAAAGTGTGCCATTTCTAAAGGTTGAAGGTCATATGCCAGTGGAAAGACCAGGACTTTTTGAGGAAAAAAAAACAAGGGGGAGAGATTAATAGATTAATGTTCTTGACAAATAGGAAACAACAAACAGTTCTCTGGGCTTTGGAAACTAAGTAGAAGTTTTCTAGACTCTATAGGTGAAGTCTTTGTAATCAAAGGCAAATTCAAATTTAGAAATACCTTTTTTTTTTTTTTTTTTTTTTTTTTTTTTTGAGTCAGGGGTTCTCTGTGTTTAATCCTGACTGTCCTGTAACTCACTCTGTAGATTAGGCTGACCTCAAACTCATAGAGATCCACCTATCTCTGCCTCCCCAGTGCTGGCATCAAAGGCATGCACTACCACCGTTTGTTGAGTTTAGAAATTTCACATATTTCCAGAGAAGTATGATTGCTGATTAAGCAGATAATGGAGAGCAGCAGTCAGATTTTGATCTTGGCATCTCTTATGTAATTTCAGTTGTTGCCAAATATACCCTTTCTCTCCTTCCCACTCCTCACCCCAGCAAATTCAGACTATCTGCTTACAGGGAAGTCTTACATGAATATTCTTTCAATTTAATGTTTCAGAACATGTGAGGTAAACATTCTACTGTTCTTTACATCACCATCCTGTTTTTAATTTCTTTTTTTTAAACTCTTTTAAATTCTTGAGATTGTTATTGGGATCTGTGACATACATGGTAAACTTGGCTACTTGTGTGACAGACCATGTGCCTAAAGAAGTTACAATCTAAAAACTATGAGAGAAATAACATTTTTTTTTAATATAAGGTAGCTTTATATAGTTAACTTCTTACTAGTGTGTTTGGGTATTAGCCAAAACATTGCTAATTTTAATGTCAAACATCAACAAATCTAATTTTATCACTGACATTTTTTTTAAAAAATTTTTTGAGACAGGGTTTCTCTGTGTAATTTTGGAGCCTGTCCTGGGTCTCACGCTGTAGACCAAGCTGACCTCAAACTTAGAGCACTGCCTGCTTCTGCCTCCTGAGTGCTTGGATTAGTGACCCACAACTGTCCGACCTATTACTGACCTTTTTAGTGACATTTAACTTTCAAATTTTATCTCTTTTCTCAAAATTTCTAGCTAGTATATTGGGTTTCACCATGACATCTTCATAATCAGATGTCAGTATCCTTTGCCTCGTCAGCCCCAAATAACACACAGAGATGCTGTATTAGATATAAAGCTGTTAGCCTGTTACTAGTGGTTCTTTATTGGCTAGCTCTGTCTTAAATAGTAACCCATTTCTATCAATATAAGTATTTCTACGTGGTTTTGGCTTACCGGAGAAAGTGTCCGGACCTTTTACTCCTTTTGGTCCTACATTTTGACTCTCCTACTACATCTCCCAGAATCCTCCTTGTCTCCTAGTCCCACCTATTATTTTTCTTTCCTATTTGCCAACAGTACTTTATTCATTAACCAATAAGAGAAACATATTTACAGAGTAATATTTCCCATCATCAGTATTATAATGAACATCTCTGTGCTACCAGTTTTCAAAGCCCTGAAGTGCTATTCCATTCATTACTGCATTCTTCATTTCCATTCTTCATGGTGTATGCTAAAAAGACAGAACATGGAGGAGCTTATACGAGTAGTTCACCTTTTCAGTTAAACAGCAAGCTCTTCCTAGCATGCAACAACATATTGCATCAGTAGTGCTTTTTGGGCCTACTCTCTAAGCAACTGGTTTATTATTTGGATTCTGAATAAACAGCAGGTAAATGTGTAAGGGGAAATGCTAGTGAAGTAACAGCACACACTCATTTTGAGCTATGGATTATTTAATTTCCCAGTAATCCATGTGGTGTATATACTGCAACCTCCAATCACAGGTGAGAAAACAATGACAAAAAGGTTAGCAACTCATTGTGCTTCTATGGATGCATGTGAAAAGCCTGACTGAAAAGTCTGGTTTCTAAGCATGTATCATTAATTGTTATTTTATTTTAAAACTCAATCTGGCTTTGGGAGACCGAGGATCTATGGTTTGAGTCCAGGTATAAATAGTATAAAAAAGTGATTGAGTTCATGAGTAGAGGTTAAGAGTGTAAGTCTACCTGGAATGTAGTGGCTTGAGCTGATTGCACACTACCACACTCCTTCCCAAGGTAAGTGAACCAGCGTTTGTTCTTACCACTTAAGGTTTTAAGTAATTCTTGCCATCTGCGGACTGGTTGTTTTCAAGGAACCTGGGATATTTTGTGTCCTAAGGGTTTTCTAGTAGAGGCCAGTGGCAGCATTCCAGTCTTTAGGTACAGTGTAGGTGAATTTGGGTACAAACTATATGCATATGGATGCTTACTTTGGTTTCAGTTTCCCTGCTGTAATAAAATGTTTTATTAGGGCTGGCGGGATAGATTAGTTGGTAAAAGCACTTGCCATCAAGCCTGATCCCCTTGGATGGACCTACTTGGTAGGAAAGAAGCCCACTCCCATGGGTCATTGGCTTATGCTTGTGCATCATGACATGCTCCCACCCCTACCCTCAAACTGTAATAAAACATGTTTTATTAAACTTGAGTTGTCTAGGTGATGGATACCTTTAATCCCAGACTTGGGAGGCAGAGGCATATGGGTCTCTGTGAGTTTTAAGACAGCCAGAGCTATACAGAGACACCCTGTTATGAAAAACCAAAAACCACCAAAGCAGGAAAAAAACCAAAACAAAAAACTTGAGTTGGAAAGCTACAAAACAAATGCAGTTTTTCTAAACTTAAGTTGATTTGTGTTTTGTTCTAAACAAATGCATTTCCATGAGTATTGATGATGAGTCATTCAGAGAAAAGGTTTGAAGCTATATCTAGGAGAACATAGACTGCCCTACTTATTGTCTGACTTTCACAATGTAGGTGCAATTCCAGCATAGAGCTCTGTGAAAGAAGGTTTATTAATTTTGTATACAGAGTTTATTTACTTATTTTTTATAACTCAAGCTAGGTCCTTACAATTTGAGAAAACCTTAACAAGGGGGGAAAAAAAACTATAGGGAAAGCATCAGCATAGACATTAATAGTGGTAATGTAAATAGCACTGAAATATATCACCAGATGATTCGTTTTTTTTTTTCAAGCATTCTCATTTTAATTTGGTTAACAATCAACTTCATCATCGTTTACTTTTACAAAGCGATATTTAAATTAAAATAAGATTTTCTCTTTGCTTTGTAAGGTATGTGAATGGCCATGCAAAAAAACATTATGAAGATGCACAGATACCCTTACCCAACCATAAGCGATCAGAAAAGCAAGAGAAAGCTCAGCATACAGTGTGTATGGATTGCAGTAGCTACAGCACATACTGGTAAGTTAATATTTTCTGGAAATGGTATTGTTTTAACAAATGTGTTCTTACAAGTTAAGCTTCGTTTGAAAGATTATTTTGATAATCTTCCTTATTTCATTGTGTCTCTGTTCTCTTCTACTTCTCAGAAGGTAAATGTCAAGAATTTAGTGTTACCAGCTCAGCATTTCAGGCTTTTTTCCACTGTAAAGTATCTTACACTTTAAGAGGAAGTTGGAGATAGCCTTGCCAGGAAGTGTATGTTGGCATTTCTAGCAGTCTGCAGGCTGATTCTGAGTTAGAGGTCACCTTGGGCTACAAAGCTGTGTCCAAAAAGTATAGATTGGAAGTCTTGCTGTCTCCTTGTAATATAATGTACATTTCTATTTCATGTAAATGGTAGTGAGCTATTCGTAACAAGTGGGCTATTCAAGCTGCAAATTAACATTCAACAATTTGTTACCTGTGAGGTATATGCATAGAAGTTGGAATTTGCAGTTTCCAGTGTGAAGCAAATATTTTTCCCTGATCTTAAATTATGATGAATACTTTTTTTTATTTGTTTTATTTTTTTGTTTTTGCTTTTTTTTTGAGGCAGGGTTTCTCTATAGCTTTGGAGCCTGTAGAATTTGATCTGTAGACCAGGCTGCCTTCAAATTCATAGAGATCCTACTGTCTCTGCCTCCCAAGTTTGGGATTAAAGGCATGTGCCACCATGGCCTAGCTAGTTGTTTTAGTTTCAATTCTAAGGGTTGCTGACAGGGGGTTGGGGGACCATTTAGGAGATACTTTTAGAGTTGTTTATTATGTATTTGCTAAATAGTCCTTCAAGGGACCATACCCTCACCCAGCCCCCTGCTTTAGCCATGTCAGGCTGCAGAAAAGACCTAACAAGGCAAAGGCCCTTGAACCAGCATTTATGCTTAGTTGTTCTGGCCTTCTGACCTTGCAGGAGCTGCCCTAGGTCAGATTCCCTCCATGTGGCAAGGAAGCAATCAGAAGTTAGCTGGTGAGACTCGATGTGCTTTCCGGCTCAGGGATAAAAGTGATTCAGAGAGATAACCTTCCTGGGAGGGCTTATAGGCCGTAGCAATCAACATAGGACAGGTCGCCCAGGCCCGGAAGTGCACCAATCCTGAGATTGTTGCAAAACTGTAGACATTCCTCTTGCTCTACTCAATATCATCCTTGGGGTTCTTCTTACCCTGATCCACCTGAAAGACCCAAGTTAATGCAGTTAATAATACAACTTTTATTTTTGCACCAGAATGGGTCTCTTGGTGATTTGGGGGTTCAGAATTTAGGCACAACAGTCCTCAAATGTTACACGAGGGGAGTACTGAGCAGAAATGGGGATTTAAAGTCCAAATATCCCTGTTGACTTGCGTGTGGTAAGAGGGGTTTGAGACAGGGCTTTGCTATGTGGCCCAGGCTGGCTCCTACCTCAGCTTCCTGAGTGCTGGGCTTATAAAACCACACCCATTTCCAGGTGTCTCCTGAGACCACATTTTGTTTGAGGGGCATGCTGATCCTTTTTCACACTGTAGTTAACTGTGGGAAGATGTCCAGCACAGAGAAGAAAGTTAGACCAGTGCCTTTTGAAGTCTTTTAATGTTTTACAGGTTTAGCATAGTTAAAATTTGACTACTGACCCAGTCTGTTAAAGGTTTACATATCCCCATCCTCGTCATAGGTTGGTCATATCAACCAGTTTGGTGCAGGAGCTGACAGCATTTGTTCCTGATTTCAGTTAGTGGTGTTCATGGGGTGCTCAAAAGGAGCTTTGTCAACAGTTAATCTGTATGCTATAAAAAGCTTGCTGGTGGGTTTCTTGCTATTGGTATGGTTCTGAGGAAATGGCAAATCTTAAGGATCAATTTAATGGATTGAAATTATTTTCATAGGGCTCTATAAGAACATCTATTATATATTTCAGTGGCTTTGTATTTTTGCTAACCTGACACTGCAATTTAATTTCTTTTACATTGCTGTAGTATACAAAGGTACTAGGAATAATTCCATGGCCAAATTGAATTAGAAAATCTTGAACCTTGGTGGAGAATGCACCCGGGAGTGGCAGAAGCTTCTTGGCCAATTGCCAGTCTTTTGTGTGCAGTCAAATAGAGCTGCAAGTGTATGGATACCCAGAGCTTCTGAAATGCAGGAAGGAAGCTTCAGCTGGAGGGGTCACATTAGTGCTGCATTTTGGGCTTGAGAACAGAATGCCAGGAACCACACTGCAAAGTGACATTGCCATATAAATACCCCCAAAGGAATTGGTGATTGTTGTGAGTTTATAAAGCTTTGGTTGAAAGTAATATTTTTCCTATGCTTTAACTGTTACAGAGAAACAGATTTTTCTGAGTAGGGGTATTGTATCATTTCTCAATGTAGTTTAGGATTTTCCTTGTACATTAGTTTCCAATGGCTAGACTGAATGATAAGGTCCAAAGGTTTGAATATTTGATTATTAAGCATTTTAAGTTCTTCCTCATCTTCCCCTAGTAGTACAGATTGAACCCAGTGCCTTGGACATGCTCAGCAAACACTACTGAATTGTATCCCAGTCTATTTTTATTAGACAAGGTTTTACTAAAACATTCAGGTTGGGCTTGAGCTTTCTCTGTAGGATCCCAGGATTTAGCCTCTCAAATAACTGGGATTATAGATGTGAGCCACCACACCCAACTTCGAAGACTTCCCCACCCCTTTGTGGCTTACCTTATAAGATATTCTCAGGGTAACAGTTATTGCCTATATGTGTTTTTTGTGCACATGTGTGTAGAGGTAATATTTGTTGAGTTGTCATTGCTTAGGTGCCATCACCTTGTTGTTTGGAGACAGGGTCTCTGGGATTTAGGTTAGACAAGGCTGTCTGCCCAGAGAGTTCAAGGGATCTTCCTGTCTGCCTGCTCAGGGCTGGGGTTACAGACAACCTTGGTTTTTTTACATGGATATTGGAGATCACATAGGTCCTTAGAGTATGTACTGTACCAATTGCACCATTTCTGTAGTCCCTGTTTATAGTTTTTGTCTTTGTTTTCTTTTTTCCAAGAGTCTTGTTCTGACCTTTGCTTGCATGTGAAATTAACACTGCAAATTCCCTTTTCCTTCACTCTACTGAATGAACGTCTAGCTCCTGGGATACTAGTCATTTCCTGCTACATGTTGGTAGTTTGTTAATCTCTTTGGAGATTGCAGAAACCATTGCTTGGATTCTTTTTGCCTCCTTGTCTTATGCAGACTAAGCAGTGTATGTATGAATGATGAAGGGCCAGGGCAGGAGCTCAGTACTAAAGTGCTTGCCAAGTGTGTGGAAGGCCTAATTCAGTCTCTAGTATGGGGTGGAGAATACTTGGTCAGCTTCCTTTTTAAAGAGGGAAAGGTTGTACCAAATCTGTTAACATTGTGCCCATTGATCATCACAGAGGACTGAAGCCACAGGATTAAAGGCTAAATTCCTTTCCCTCTGCAGATAGGCATCTTTGAGGGAGCTCCTTTCCATTCTGATAGATAGAAGCAGAGCCTCCAAAGAGAAAGCATATATGGTAAAAGTTGTGGTTTGGTACAAACCCACTCCCTGAGAAAATCCAATTAGCATGAAACAGATAAATGAATATTTCAATAAAAGTGAAAATCTCCCCAAGATTTTCATATGCAGGCTAATTTTCAATTTATCATTTGTTAAGTAATGTTTCGACCTTCCCATGCTGTTCTCCTCCCTACCTAGTACAGATGGAGTCACATGTGGTATACGTTATTGCAGTTGAAAAGAAGCACAAATTAAAATTAGTTTTATGTAAGTAGACATATGAAGGCAGTAGATTAAAAATATCAATTAATTGATATTTGATTTAGTCAACTTTAATCCTTATGAACAGTAGCTGAATGAGAAAGAATTATGAAAAGAATGTTAAAATTACTATGTCTTTTCCCCAAATGCATTATTTCAAACTGTTATGAAATATGAACTAATTCATGTCTAAAAAACTACTTGTATTTCAGATTATTTTTTATTACACCTGGCCTGCTTTATCATTTTAACAGTTATGATTTAAAAAATAAATTTATTGTTACATAAACTCCTTAAATGTAGATTTGATTCTCCCCTCCCTTTTTGGGTATTTCGAGACAGAGTTTCTCTGCATAGCCTTGGCCACCCTGGAACTTACTCTGTAGATCAGGCAGGCTGGTCTTGAACTCAGAACTCAGAGAGATCTCCCTGCCTCTGCTTGGATTAAAGTCATGTGCCATCACTACCCAGGTTTGCTTGTTTCTTTTTTCCCCTCTTTTTGTTTTTTGTTTTCTTCTTTTTTTTCTATCTCTCCCTTTTAAGGTGGGGTCTAGCTCTGTGGTTCAAGACTGGCTTTGTTCCTCAGTGTTGGGATTACTTTCCCCTCTTGCTTGTTTCCCTCCTTTTCCCTTGGGAGGGGTTGGCAAAGCTAGCCTGGACTCCTGGGCTCAGGCAGTCCTGAGTAACCAACCAGGCCACAGGCATAGGCACAGGCTATCAGTGTTTAAACATTGGAAAGCAGGAAGAGATTGACTTAAGAATTGTGTTTTGAAGTTTAAAAAGAAACTTTGTAATACAGGCGACCTCAAATCATGAAAGACTTGTTTAATAAGCCACTGCTTATCTGATTTTTAACAGAGGATGGGTGTTTTATCTGAGTGTACTCTTTTCATTTCCATAATTGGATATTTGAGGCCAAGATATTAGAACTTAATAAAAGAATACACACACACACACACACACACATACACACACACACACACACACACACACACACACGATATCTGAAGATTTTCTTTTGAATTTTAACTTTAATAAGTTTGAAACATGAAATCATCAGAATGTTCTTCAGAATCTCTTCCTCTCTGAGACAGGGTTTCTCTGTGGCTTTGGAGGCTGTCCTGGAACTAGCTCTATAGACCAGGCTAGTCTCAAACTCCAGAGATCCACCTGAGTCTGCCTCCTGAGTACTGGGACCAAAGGACTAAAGGTGTGCACCACCATTGCC